TCCAAACTTATAAAAAGGTTGATCGACAACAATAAAGATGCGCCTTTCATTAGACGCAGTGAGCAGTAACAGAAACTCAGTGCTCCATCACCAGAGGCATGCCGATGGCAGAGTTCAATAATGGAATGGCTGCATTTCTTTCAGCTGAAGCCTCTCATCCTAAGAGCCATTTCAATACTTGCTCTCCTAGATGAAATGAATCCACTGTGACTTGAACATATTAAATGCTAAAAGTAAAATAATTGATTAACAAAATAAACAGACTCTTCTTTGATCCAGCAGGGAACGAGAAGACAATGCTACATTAGGCTACGCTTCATATAGCTTAAGCAAAATAAAAGTTTTTATCACCACACTGGCTTATCGTAGTTGTCTTAGTTTTAAGGGAGTTGGCTTTGCAGGAAAAGTATGATGGAAATTCTTTTAAAACTTTCACATGATATTACATTAATATGGAAAAAAGAAGTCAACCTTTTGATTAGGGGTGTGGGAAATAATCATTTTGGTGATATATCGTGATATTCCGCTGCCCAATATAATATCGATCTTTCACTTCTTAGTATCGATTTAAAAAAAAAAAAAGGTTACATAAAACGTTGATGGGGAAATGGGCTACCTCTGCACCCCCACTCTGGCAGAAAGCGCTGTGGAGCCCTTTAACTGTGCGTGCAGCACCAAATCTGTATTTGAGGCAATCACAGTGGAAGAAAACCCCAAACAACATGGATAATAATACCTAATCAATATTTTCTGATGAAAATATACAGCACTTGGTGTTTTATCTCATCATTTGATTTTGATAGCTGGGGAAAATATGGCAATATATAGTGATACTGCAATATCGTGATAATATCGTATCATGACCCAAGTATCGCGACATGTATCAAATCGCAACACTCATGCCAATACTCACCTCTACTTTTGATATTAATGATTAAATTCAAACTAAAAATATCACATACCTTCATAGAAACATGGTTGTATGATTTTCTGTTAATTTTTCAAACCGTTGATATCGGAGATAAACTGATACAGATTGATGAAGGACGATTACATAGATACCAGCCTGATTTCCAATATCTGCTGCCTTTTCTTCTTCTTCTCCATTTAAATGATGACAACTACACATTAATGTTTTCCAAGTCTCAAATTACGCAACATTAAATGCACTAACAAATGGACAGATGCATGCACATATATGCCAATAGCAGAAGAAAAAAAGCATCGGTTTATCTTTAGTTAATATTGCTATTTTAACATTTATGTTTATCATTTAATACAAGAAGTAGCTGCTGTAAAGCAGCACAGAGGCCCCGTAGATGCTGGTGAAGTTTCTCTGTCATAGTCATTCCAAAAAAAGAAAATTAAAAACGATCTACTGGACTTTGTTTCCAAGTTTGAAGACGTTTCGCTTCCCGTCCAAGAAGCTTTTTCAGCTTCTTGGAAGTCCAGTGGATCGTTTTTAATTTTCTTTTTTAGGCCCCTATAGATGTATTTGTTGTAGCAAAGCAGCCAATTTCACATAGGTAAGGTTTAATATGGAATTCTTTGTTTTGTTTTTGTAATACATTTTCATTATGGTCTTAAAACACAAGTTTGATGCAATCTAATTAAACTCTATATCACCACTTCTCCGTATATAAAAGTAATTAGCCCAGTTTATAGCTACTTGTCTTGATTTATAGTTGATCAGAAACATGTGCTTGAGTTTTAAAGCTTTTTGTTTTCGATGGAGTTGTTTTAAATTTTACATCCTCTCTGCTGTGAATCCATACAGCTATAGTTTCATCACCCCTGTTGATTATTGATTGGCATAAACCAGAAGCCAAACTAAACATTTTCTATGCAGCCAGCTGTTGAAACCTCCACTCCAGCCATCTCTCTTGTATTTAATGTTGGATTGCTTTCCACGTGTGAAAGCAGCCTTTTTTCCTCTCCTCAGTCAGCCTGGGCGTAGAAGGAGGAGAACAAGATCCCATTCTTTCTGCCTTTAAACAGTCCCACAGGCCTTGGAACAGTCACTCTATAGCCGATTCCAACACACATGCCCGCAAGCATTTCTAGCCTTACGCACACACACTCTCCTTACATCCTCCAACCAGCCCATAAGGGCTAGTTCTTTGCCAGATTTTCAACTGGCAAACACGCAATTCTTAAATCATTTAAAGTCAGCTGGACGCAGTCGGCCTTAAAGCTTAAGATGTTTTTTTTTTTCTTTGGAAGCCTGAGGCCAGAGCTCCCATTGCTCCCATTAAAACCAATGGCTGGTCGGAGGCGTGTAAATGAAGGAAGGAAGATGTAGAGAAGACGGTCTGGTTGAATGGAGAAAAAGATGCATGCTTGGCTTTAATCATTAGAGAAAGTCAGGACGATGTTGTCTAGATAATTTGGTTCCAAAGTTCAAGTAAGGACTTCTGGTTTAAATTGAAAACAACTGGGGATGTTGCATAAAATATTTTTTTCTTTAATTGCAGCTTTCCTTAAAACTAAACCGATTTGGATGAAATTAAACGTATGACACAGGTTTGTGGTAAAGATGTCTGTCGATCTGTAATAAAGTTTGTAACACTTTTGATTCTGGTGGCTTTGAAACGGCTTTATCTTCTGCTGAGCTTAGTGGCTCCTTATCCGCCACCGGGGTTTATGTTTTTAGGTGGAGGTAGAGAGAAGATGGAGATTGAAAAATGTCAAGTGATGCATTCAAGTTGTCTTTCAGTGGGTTTTATCATAAAGGATTGATAGAGCTGTTATAGAGCTTTGTAGCTTGTTGCTTTTTAGTATTTATTTTCCTTTCACGAAAAGCTTTGAGGTGCTCCAGGAATTTGACTGACTGCATTTGAACAATCTTCAGCATGACTACTGCTGGCCTTGGTCCGGCCCTGTGGAAACTCCCACACATCAGGGCCAATTTGTTTTCTCGGTTTTTGTGCTGAAGGGAACATTTTAAGTTTGAAAGTTCTCAGAAAGTTAGACAATTTCAGCATCATAGCAGCGTCTAAAGAGGATCCAAAAAGGAGGAGAGAAGTTGGAAGAAAGTAATATCTGTGCAGCCATTCGTGCTGATCATCCAGGCGCCTGCTTTAGGGTTTAACAGGAACACTATCCCAAAGTATTGCCTTAGCCTTCATGTTTTCTTTGTACGTCTGTCTTTTATTGGTGATAACACTGGGTCTTAATTCTGCAGGAAATGTTTGCATACATAGTTGGTAACTTTTTAAGATAAGTTCACACCTAAGAGCGAATTTCGCTGCTGAAAGAAAAAATGTACTCCTCGTCCCTATTGAAGAGGCTGTAGAGCTACGAGGCAGAGCGATGTGAAGGCCGCAAATTCACTGAAAAGAGAGCGCCAACATCCCTGCCACGTAGTGAAATTCCCAGCAATTGAAGGATCTTAACTGTTGTTCACTTTTGAGACATTAAAACCAACGAGGGACTTGAAGTGGCTGTGATCTATGGGACCAAAGCTTAAGAAGGTGGAGAAAATAATGTTGATATAAGGCTGATTTATACTCAGAAACCAGGTCGTCTTCTCATGTCGCACTAACACAAATGTGCCCCGCCCCTTCCGCAGACACTCTGGTGCACCTCTCCAAAATTGTAGGTGACCGCAGACAGCAGGCATCTGATTGGTCAAATCTACATCCACTCAACACTATGCGTATTTCCTGTTTGGTACCTTAGCAGCTTGTTCTATTTGTATGATCACCAATGAGGAAAATGACTCCTGAAAATAGACCAGCTAGAAGAGTGAGTTACGCGAGAACGCTGGGACCCTTTTTCCACATGGATCCCCGCTCTTTTTCGCCCTCATGTTCCACCGTTGTCGCACAAACTTGCCCCCACTTCCTCACCGCCTCGGCCGTATCTAGACCCACAGCTAGTCCGTGATTGTCCCTCTTGCGTTGTGGCGTGGAATAAAATAGCGCAGACCACTCTTCAGTATTGGGCATTAATCAATAATTTATCTGTGACAAGCTCACTGCGACACACTGCTGATGGAGAATAACCAGCACTAAAGGATGAAGTAGGGAAAGCTTCAGAGCTTCTTGAGTGGCTTTTAAAAAGCTGTATTTTAGCCCTAGAAGGATTATTTGTCGTCTTACTTTGGCTCAAGAACAGACGCTGGCCACCCATCGCCAATACCTCTCTCTGATGCTCTGTCTGTCGTGCTGCTCTGATTTACCACCATCCTCCTCCTATGGTTTTGTTTGGTTTTCCAAAGTAAAAAAACAATGCGACTTGGTCTGTAAACTCCATGTCCGACATGTTGAGGCGAAACCAAAAAGCCAGCAGACTCTGTAATGTAGCGGAGCCCTTTCCCCGCAGTCCGAATTATTTTTGCTGGCCAGCCACATGTCAGACGAGTAAAAGCACAAGAAAGATCATGTTAGGTGTGAATGTACCATAACAGTGCTAATCATGCTATCGCTAATGTAAAACACAGTTTTAATATCTGAATTTAACAAAATCCTAAGCAGTTACAATGTTTTTTAACTAGAGAAAAATTGAAAATTGATTAGTGCATCTCTACTAAAAACATTTAGCATTTGGATAAAATAACTTTTAATTCAACCTAAAACTGGGAAAATAAGATAAAAGAAGATAAAAATGGTTTCCTGGTTTCCTCGTGGCGTAAAGATCATTCCTCAGATTTTCATTAGTTGTATTTTTCGTTTCTATTTAGCGTTTATCATTTTAGGCTCTAATTCGTGATATTTAAATACCTTTTAAAAGTTCAAATATAAATCAATTAAATAACTGAATTGTTGTATAATCGAGTCATTCATGCTGAGGCCAAAGTGAATCAAATGCTGGAGTTTCTATCCTCCAAAGCACTTTTTTTAGCAATCCAGGACCTGCTCCTTTTCCACCCATGGGCCTGTCAGGTTAAACTCTGGCCATTAAAACCCATAAATGAATAACCAAAGCAGCTGAAGAGATTGGTATGCAGCTGATTTATTAAAAAGGGCTCCTTCCCATTTTGTCCTTGTTTGTTTCAGCGCTTCATCCAGTACCTGGCCTCCAGAAACACCCTGTTCAACCTGAACAACTTCTTGGATAAAGGTGCTCTGCAAGGTAAGAGATTTCATTCCCTTCGAAGGTTCTGATAGCTGGTTTTCACTAAACTTGGAGAGGATGAAACCTCAAAGGATTTCAGAGAGAAAACCAGAATAATTCAGACAGTTAAAGGTGAGGGCATCTTCCCTACATCTTTGATTTGCAATGAAGAGTCTGTTTGAAGATGTTTGACACAAACACCATCGATGTTTCTCCTCCTCGTTCCACTGTTCAGGTTACGACATGTCAACCTTCATCAGGCGATACAGTCGCTACCTGAATGAAAAGGCCATGTCCTACAGACTGGTTGCTGTGGATTTCACCAAGATGAAGAGAGGGTAAGACACACACACCCATACACACACACACACACATCCCGTTCTACATGAGGACCATGCGTTGACTCCTTCTATGCCCTAACCCTAAACCTAACCATTACCACTGCATACCTCACCCTAACCCATTCACACCTTAGCCCTAATCTTAACCATTAGCGAAATAGCTTGTGAGGACCAGCAAAATGTCCTCGCTTTGTAACAACTGGCCTCAATTTGATGGGGAAATTGGAAAACTGAGAGGGCTAGACAGGTACACACACACACACACACACACACACACACACACACTCTTTTTGCCATCGTAGTCAGGACCATTTGTTGATTGTCATTGATTTTCAGTCATTTTCAACCCTATTCTGTGCCCTAACCTCAAAGCTAACCCTAAATGTAACCATTAGCAATGCATACCTCACCCTAACCGAATTGAACCTTAGCCCTAAAACTAACTGTCAGCAAAGTAGCATGTGAGGACCACTAAAATGTCCTCACTTTGTAACAACTGGTCTTCAGTCTGATTATGAACATGAAAGCATGGTTCTCACTCTAAGGGCTAGACAGGTATACACACACTAACGTTTTAAAAATGAAGGACCTTCAGACGTCCCTTATGGAGAGAGTCTAATCAAAGATTGTGACGTCTGGAGCAGCCGGGGCCCTACCCTGGATCCAGGTCTGGGGTTGGGGCTCGCATGCAGGCGCCTGGTGGCCGGGTCCGCCATACTGTGGACCCACCACCAGCAGAGGGATCCATAGCGGTCAGCTGCAGAGAGTACTGGGTGATAGTCAAGGCGGGGTGCCTCGATGACCCGGTCCGCACACGAAGCCTCTGGCTGTTGGAAAGTGGTCTGATCGCCTCCCTCACGAGGTGTTCCAGGCAGGTCCTATTGGGAGGAGGCCTCGTAGAAGGCCCAGGACACGCTGGAGGGACTGTCTCTGAGCTGGTGTCTCCTCATGGTCCCCCCAGAGCAGCTGCAGGAGGTGTGTGTGGATCAGGAAGTCTGGGGGTCTCTGCTTAGACTTCTGCCGTTGCGACCCAGCCCCAGATAAAGATGGACGGATTGATGGACCATCATGATTTTTCTACATTTTTATGGTCTAGTACACAAGTACACAAATATATGGTGACCATTGGAGCTTTTTTCATGTTTCTTATCTTTCAACTAAAAATTTTATTATACTTGATTTAGATTCTGTGCAACCCAACATCTTTTTTACCCAATAGAAACCCTTTGATCAGCTGGGTGCCAGGATCAAAGTAGCTTCTACTAAATGTAAAGAGAACAGTCCCGTACTTTGTGTATCTGTTGAATATTTAGCTGTTTTTATTTTTTCTCTTTAAACTAATGAGGCCACCACACTTTCACACCGAGTCATAATGTTAATCATTGCAAACTCTCACTCTCTCAGCCAGGAAGTGAGTCTGTATTTTTCCTTCAAGCTCTAAAAGACACCCACTGTTTGTGAGTTATTAGCAGCAGGAGGAAGCCGGGGGTTTAAAAATAAGTAGCTGTGTTTTTTTTTTTTCCAGCAGGTTGTATCAGAAAGACCTGTGTCAGACTTCTGAGCCAAGTCTCGTTAATTTTCTAAAAATGTGTCTCCAGACGTTTATGAGCTCCTTTCCACCCCCACCTGAAGCTCTGCTATTAGATAGAAAGCTTAGCAATGCAAAGCTCTAGTCTTACACTCATAATTTGCATCGTTTAGCGATTCCTAATTTCTTAGAACATTTGTATAGCTTTCCTCCTCCAGGCCTGCTGTGTAACTGTGTCTGTGTGCTCCTCCTTCAGTGTCGACGGCGTGATGCGAACCATGAACACAGAGAAGCTGATCAAGACGCTGCCCATCATCCAGAACCAGCTGGACGCTCTGCTGGATTTCCAGGTATCGTCTGCTTCAACAACACGGTCGATTTGGTTTCCAATCAGAGCCGAAAGCTTCGAGACCTTTTGCTCGATGGCGCGTAGGACAGCTGGAATGGTGACCGATGTCATGTTAAAGGGAGCAGAGACTGGAGTCGGGTGGAGGGATTTTTTGTCTTTTATACCAGCGAGCTTCAAAGGCTGATAAAAATGACTTAAGGATCTAATTGGGATGCAGAGCAGATGTGTGAGGGAGTCTGCCTCTGGCTGTTTTTGTGTTTATTCTTGACGTTTCAAACAGCCTGTGATTATGTGCTTTCCCTTAAACCCAGGGAGGAAAGGTGACGATCTGATTTCTGTCTCTTCTCTCTGCAGGCCAATCCTAACGAGCTGACCAACGGAGTGATCAACTCGGCCTTCATGCTTCTCTTCAAAGACTCCATCAGGCTCTTTGCTGCTTATAATGAAGGAGTCATCAACCTGTTGGGTAGAGCACACCTCTTTCACACTAGCATGTCACGCTAATGTCAGTTCTGACTGCAGTTTGCCACGTTTCCGGAAGGAAGTGTTCATTAGCTGAGGAATCGATTATTATCCAAGTGTTTCTGGAGTGTTTATAAAGCAAAGAGGAAGGAGTTTATACGGGGAAGTAGTCCAGAAGCTTAGTCGCAATAATTCCTGGTTTAGATCTTTAATAATCGGAAGCGTTTCATCATCCACGGGTTTCTAATCTAGAGAATCTCTGCAGGCCTCCACGTGTTGATCTTTGAGATCTGCCTTCAGGCAGCGCTGCATGGAAAGCAGACAGAATTCATTGGTAAAAATCCCAGCTGTAGCTGAGGGACTCTGCTCAGAAAACAGGTCAGGGAACGTGTTTAAATGCTGCAATCACAAACTTTAACTTCTTTAGCTTACATGCAATCAAATTAGAACATCACAACAGCTGAACTCAGAAAGTTTGGCTTTTTTTTTAAATAGATTTTTTTAAGATCGGAACAAGGTTAAGGGAAAAACATTTTCTCCTGTGGATCAGAGCTGTTCCCAGTCCTTTCTAGAAACTGATGCTCACATTTATATGGAGCTAAATTAGGACCATAAAGTTTGTTTAAAAAAAAAAGTTTGTTTGGAAAAAAATTATGTTTGCGTGTTTATATATACGCAAACACATACATTGTTTTTATATATATATATATATATATATATATATATATATATATATGCATGTAAACTGCTTCTAATGGTGAAGGATGTTATTTTCAAAACCATTCACATGCACATAGAATATTGATGATGTTTTAAAGACATTTCCAGTTCCCACGGTCCCTGAATGCAACAGCTGGGAATAGGTTGTTCAGCAGCTGTGTTGAGCTGTTAGTAATGTTAGTTTGTTTTTGTTTTTTTGAGCAAGTTTTTATTTTTCAGGTATAAAAAAAAAAACAATTTACTTTTTGTTTAGTTTTTTTTATTTTTTAAGTTTTTTTTTTTTATTTAGGTATGAAATGTTTTGAACAAACTTATTTTTTTCAGTTTTTTGTTTTTGTTTGTTTTTTTTTACAACCTTTTTTCAGGTTATTTTCTTCAGTTTTTCAACAAAATTTTGGCTTATATTTTACAGCTCCATACATTCATACCCAATAAACCTGTTCACAGTTTCTTATGCTCAAACTATATCTCTGTCTTTTTGATTCATTGGTTAGCTACTATAACTCATGTGCAGCCCTGAAATAACTCTGATTAGGCTAAAGAGATCTGGAAATTAAAGCTGACTGACAACAGATGATGAGGCTGTTGCTCCGTATGCGGAACTTATCTCTAGACAAAGAAGCTGCACCCACACACAATGCATGACGCACAAACACATGCTGCACTGCAGGTTTCTGGGAATGTTGTTTTTTAGTTTTTTTTTTTTATTCTGGATCAAAGAGTTAAAGTTTAACATTCATGGAGCACTGGAAGCATTTAAAAATACCTAATCCCTCAGGGTTCCGCATCATAAAAACAAAGCCACTTTATTTCCCTTCACAAATGTGTGCAACAATAATTTTTACTCTTTTTAAATGTTGCAGATCCCTTTATCTGTTATTAGATGTAGCCTTAAGTCTGCAGAATCAGTTCTGGCTGCTCAGGATGCTATTTACTTTTACTTAGTTGTATTATTAAATCTGATCACATTTAATCACATTATGTAATAAATTATTTGGAGGATGGAATGTACCCATTTATAGTTCTTTACTGCTTGCACAGAGTCTTTAGCTAAATGTTGCAGTTAGCGTAGCTTTGATGGCTGATCCTTTGCCCTGCTTCCGATGACCTTTGGAGCAACACCAGCGCTGTCGCCTTCTTTCTGAGAACAAGTCAAAGTCTTTCCTGGTCCAACCGGTCCAGCAGGGCTGGTTGATATGGACTTAAAATATTATCATTGTATTTTATGGTACAGTCAGACACTAATAAAACTAATAAAAAGAGAAAATGTTAATTATGGCTTCTTAAAATAGGAATCTTCAGGATAACAGCTACATAAAGAAGTCCTTTTTATTTATCTGATCATTCTGAACAAACATATTTTTCTAGTTTGTCAATCAGAGATTGACCAGTACAGTTTTGTTTTTTAACACTGATGCCGATGTCCATATGTGCTGCTGATATTGCTAATGTCGCTTTTTCTTCCTCTGTTTGCATATGGAAAAATGACACAAAAAGCGTTACAGAGGTCTCTGTTTAAACATTAAAGAAGCATTTATTTACCAAGCAAAATAAATATTAACAATAGATAGCAAATGAGGGGAAGAATGCACGTATCTACAGATAAAAGTAAAACCTTAAAGTCAACCCAAAACACGGCTGATGTATCAGTATATTTCTATTACTGATCCCCCAATGGAATAAAGAAAAAAAATAGAAAAGACAAATTATGACACTTCACCCCTTTTTATGTAGTTTTGAATCATTAAGTCTAATAGTTGCTACCAGCGGTTCTGCAACCTTGGGAATCTGTAAAATCCAAAGAGCCGTTTTGCCCTGAGTCGGTTAGTAAGTTGATTACAGCTGCAAATGTTACACGACTTTTTGATAAAAGATAATTTATTGTTAAATATTTACTTTAGGAAATATGGTGCCATTTCTAAGAACCAACATTTTATTTGTGTTTTTAGGTTTCACAGTAATATAAAACAAATGGGTTTTGCAGAAAGGGGAAATGTGGATTTTCTGGATCTTTATCTGTTTAAAGTTATGCAAAACAAACTTTCAATGGAGCGTTCAATTGAAAGTTAAAAATTCTCTTTTCTGTTGCTGTTGTTCAATAAAAATAAGTTTTAAGATAATTTGAGGCGAGAATATTCTACTTTAAAGCGTCATTATACACTGTGTGCAGAATTATTAGGTAAGTTGTATTTTTGAGGATTATGTTTATTATTGGGCCATAATTGTGTTCTCTATCAACCCAAAAGACTCCTTAATGTCAAAGTTTCATATTATTTCTCGAATGATGGCGACTTCGTCTTGTACCACTGTTTGAAGAACTTGTTTTCCAGAAACTGGCAGTAGGTCTGGGAGTTGATCTTTACTCCATTATCAACCCGAAAAGGTCCCACAAGCTCATCTTTCATGATCCCAGCCCATACCAGTACCCCACCTCCACCTTGCTGGCGTCTGAGTCGATAAGGAACTTACTGTCCTTTACTAATCCAGCCTGGTGCCCATCCATCTGGCCCATCAAGACTCATTTTATCAGACCAAAACACCTTGGAGAAATCAGTCTTCAGATATTTCTAGGCCCAATCTTGACATTTTGTCTTGTGTGACTTGTTCAAAGGTGGCCTTTTTTCAGCTTTCCTTACCTTGGCCAGGTCCCTGAGTATTGAGCACCTTGTGCTTACCAGCACTCCAGACATGTTGCAGCTCTGAAATATAGCACAACTGGTGGCTAGAGAGTCTGTCAAATCTCTTTTCTGACCCATTTTGCCAAAGGAAAGGAAGTTGCATAATGAAGCACACATTATATAGGGTGTTGATATCATTAGGCCACACCCCTTCTCATTACAGAGATGCACACCGCCTGATTTACTTAATTGGTAGTTGGCTTTCAAATCTATACAGCTTGGAGTAGGACAACATGTACTGTATGAAAAGGATGATGTGGTGGAAATACTCATTTGCCTAATAATTCTGCATACAGTGTATGGTGCTTTTACTGATTTAATTCGTAATTAAAAAAACTATTTCCGAAGTTGAGAGGACTGCGTCAACCAGCGTGCCTCCTAGGCTAAGAGACTCTACGCTCATTCATATTTCAGAAGGACGTATTCACCGTTTAACTGACAGGCTGCTTGTTTACACTTCCCCACCAGCTTTCTGTTGCGCTTACTGTGTCACAGTCAGTTGCGCTCATTGGTCCGAGCGTTGGCCAATAGGCACAGAGAGCGGTTTGAAAAACGGGTTGTTCTCATCAACAATCTTCCAAGCTCTAATTCATTGGGGGCAGACTAAATCAAACATTTAATCTCACATTTAGTGTTGTTTATCAGGCTATTTACAACTGCTATTTGGTTTATCATTTTCAGCCACGATTATGAGCGATTATTGAGGGTGCAAAAAGCCACTCATGGTTTAAACCGCAATTTTTCCATTATTTTAAATGTCTTTAAATACACACTAACATGAATTCATCACACTGTAGTAAACAGATAAATGGAGGCAGAAGATGTCTTTCAGTCATCAATGCACACATTCAGCGACACACTGGAGCTCTTTCACACTGGGCACAGTTTCATTCACAACACCTGTCCCATCAATGCGGAATTGGAATCAGAAATACTTTAATAATCCCAGGCTTTCATTACATCACTCCATATGTAATGGAGTGACTATAGTACCAGTTTGATATAACACAATTTCAAACAATATATATAATTAGGTGGTCCCTGCTCCATCTACCCATTAGTTTGGGAGTCTTTAGCCTGGAAAATGTTGAAGACCCCTGATATACGTAACATCAATGGCATGCACAGAACCCGAGCAGATCTGGTACCTACAGCAGAGACACTGGGCTTTAAAGTCACAGGGAAGTCATATTTAAATGTAAAATCATTCTGGCTTAAAAATGTATTTAAATGTACTCTTTAACAGACGATATTGTCCCAAATTTTAGAAAATTTCTATTAAAAAAAATCCTGACTTAAAATCTGTTTTTTTCCCCTGTAATTTTATGCAGGCCAGTTAGTTATACATCAGCTTGTACACATAAATTCGGTCCCATTGGGTTCCGTCCCAGTGTTCACGGGGATGGACGTCTGTGTCTTCGGCAGGCGTAGAGCTAACAGAACTGGCAGCATTGTGAGGCAAGGGCTCAAACATGTACGGCTGGAAGCTTCTGCTGCTTTATTCACTTTATTCGCTCGTGTAAAGTCGTGCACCACTCGGTAGAATTCGGGATAAACGGTTGGAACGGCTGTTTCCCTACGACCTTAAATGATCTCATGTTAATCAGATAGACGAGCTATTAGCTACAGCATTAACTGTTATCAGATTATCGGATTTCTACCCTTTAAGTGCTGCTTAAAGGGGAGAAAAATGTGGAGATGTTTCAGTACGACCATTTAAACAAGGGGATACATAACAGCAGAGGTTATTAAAATCACACCTTTAGTACTGGTGGATATGTAATGTAGGTCTATATGTTATGTCTTCAGTCATGCAGATGCTTTTGTCTACTAGATATGTAAACATAGATCCAACACACACCTGCTTCAGTCCTGATCCTCCACCTCATGTAAACCTCGACTGTCCTTTGTTTTTTTCCCATAGAGAAATACTTTGACATGAAGAAGAACCAGTGTAAAGACGCTCTGGACATCTACAAGAAATTTCTTTACAGGATGACAAAGCTGTCGGAGTTCCTCAAAGTGGCAGAGGTACCCAAACACACAAACGAGATACAGACACGAACAAATCAGGACTGTAATTTTCAAACGGGTCTCATCTCTGAATATTGGATTTTATTTAGGTTGGCAGCTCCAGTTCTGTCCTCTAACGCTCCCAAACATCCATTAGATGCTTTAAAACCAGATGTTCTCAACCAGGCCTTCTAATGTGGTCATTTTTCACACGCCGGCTGCAGTTTTGCTCACACAGCGTTGCTGAACGAAGCCCCCCCCCACCTTCCATGAAAACGCACTCAAATATATATATATAGGCCAAAAATAACCATAAGATGGAGGACGTGGTTAGGCGCTCTGTTAGCTCCCTCCGCCTAATCCTCTCTTCTGCCTCGCTCTTCTTTCTCCCTTTGACAAAGATGGATACCCGAGTGGCTCTCCTTTCCCCGGTGCCCACAGATCATCCCTCCTTCCCTCCCCTCCGCTGCGCCCTGCTCCATCTCCGGTCTGTCTGTTGTTTCAGCAGACAGTCAGAAAGCAGATGTGTTCTACGGGACACGGAGGGAAATGTTCCCATTTAAATGTCTCCCGTCTTTTTACGACTCCGCTTTAAAGACCTCCCCGCACAGTCTCAGACTAAATGCATGGTTTAAAATGTAGAGAATAGCAGCAGATATTGAGGGGATAAATAATGAGTTCCTCCGTTTTTAGATTAAATGTCTGGAGGCTGTCGGGGAACGTTTTCATAGCCCAATCCTTAAGCTTGAATTTGTTTTTTAATTTTTTTGACCCAAACTTCAATAAATCCCAGCTCGTCTGCTTTGGATCTGATGTGGCGACTTAAAAGATATCAGTCTATAGCATCAGCTGCTGGTTCAGTGGACATATCGTGCAGCTTTAAATGAAAATGTGCCCCAGGATGGCTTTGTAGTTCCACAGCATGAAGGCAAACAGCTTAGCTGCAGATAGATCAGCAGACCTCAGCCTGGAACAGGACTTTTAGTGTTCTCCAAATCTGGATAAATACTGAATAAAGAGACAAAGTTAAATTGAAGGCATTAAGAGATTAAAATTTAAATTTCAAGGGAAGTTTTTTTTCCCCACCCTCAACTAAATTTAAATGATTTGTTCAGTTTATTTTAAGATCAGAGGTAATCTTATCGCTTAAAGCTTTGTTGTCTCTCTTATAATCTAACCTTGATGCCATAGGCTGTAATAACAAAAGCTTCTTTTTTTAAGGTTAATTTTAATCTAAACTTTATTAGTCTGTGTTCTGAAAACTCTCTGACAGTTTAGTGCCCCAGCTGGGTGCGGGGTAGGCGTTACATCGGCGATGTCCGCTGTGGAAACCTCTAAAGTAGATCCCGTAAAGGTTGACTTAAAACCGTTTCTACGCAAAGCTTCATCTCTGCTGTTTGCTTCTTCCTGTTAGGCCGTCACCTTGTTAGCTCACATGTTTAATGGAAACCAGAAAAAAAAAAAAACATAAAACTCCATTTCTGTTGTCCTGTCCACTGGGCACGCACAAAGTGCTTTTTCATGTAATCCAATAGTCTGGTGAAAATGCCCTCTCTGAGAGTTCTTCTTTTTCTTTTTTTTTTCAAACCTCTGGACAGGAAGTGCAAACAAAGCAAAAATGTTGCCAAATATCCATGTTTGCAGTGACTCAAACTGGTTCTTCAACTGGACCCAGTTCAGAAGCCAAACGAAGCTTTTCTTTTTTCCTGTTTCTCAATCTTCTAGGAACAAACGAGTCACGTGTCACTTTGATTCTAAAGAATCTGTGTTCAGAGAAGGATTGTTCATAATCAGGGTCTAATAAGGTATATTAAGTTATCACACCAGTATATTTATATGAATGCCAACAGCAAAAAATATTATAAAAACACTTTATAAACACAAAGCATAATTTCATGTACAGGTTTACTTTTTGTACATAAATCTTGCCTTTCTGAAGCTTTGTGAAGATAAATCTGTGTTTTGCATGGTCCAATATGGTGTCAAAAAACTAAAAACATTACCAGTTTAGTATTGGGCAAGCTATTAGCCAGCTTCAAGTTTTTTATGTATATAAAAACTATTTATTTTCTGAGAATGTGTTTATTTAAGAGAGACTATGCAACTTAACAAACATCTAGAAAAAGTACACAATATTCCAGATTGTTTATTCTCCTTGGCCTTTTCTGAAAAGTGCCTTAAATCAATCCTAGCTCTCTTTATCCGTGCTGGGTCAGATCCTGACGTTTGAAAAAGGAGGCAGGAAAAGCAGAATAAAGCTACATGCTGCTAGCCAATAGCCTGGGTGCCATTCCGAACTTAGTCCCGCCCACAAAGTTTGAGGTCGGGAAGTTCGGTCTGGCTCTGCTCCATAGTAGCGCAAGTATTATCACCCACTGTCAGGCGATCCAATCAAATTGTCAGGGCGGGCTTTATACGATGATGGACAGATGACCAACAGTAACGTAATCAACCACGTGACCAATGCGCGCTAGGGTGACAACAATAATGGCTGCTGCTGGAGAGTTGAGGTGAGTAGATTCTGCTATTAGGTCTGTTCTAGAAGATATCGACAGCAAATTAATTTTAAAAGCGGAACAGAGAAACGCGATCAAGTCTCATCTTCTTATTATAGGCGTGCAACTGCACGCTTAGATTTTTGTTGACAACAACTATGCGTCGCTTAACATACGTCACGCACTCTGTTGCTCTTATTGGTTGTAGGTCTATCCAATTGAGTGCAGAGGCATTTTTTTTCCTGGTTCGTTCGAAACACGCCCCATAATCACAGCTCTATGGAGCAGTATCAGACTCATTTTCTGACTGAGTCGGACTACGTCAGGCTAGCTAGCCAAGCCTTTTTACTAAACCGGGTCCTGGAAAAGGACGGTTCTTGCACCATTTCTCTTTCTCAATCTCTCCAATGCGTCTTCAACTCCCGCGACTTGACCTGTCAATCACCCGCAAAACGTCTGCGCTGTGGCGGGAGGTGGTGAGCAAATATACTTCCTGTCACCACAGGGCGCAGCTCTCCTGCGCCCCGAGCTCTCCTATATCTTTGTATTGGATCTACTGCACATATACAACTTTTAACGAGAGTCATTGGGCAAAGATTTTTGCGCCCTAGGGAAGAAAAACGTCACCAATTGGACAAAAAAATTTAATGACGCTTTACTGGTCATTAAAGATTAAATATTTATCTTGCACATCTAAGAAATACATATTGATATATTTCGAAATATTTTAAATGTTAATTTAAAATTAAATTACTAAAAATATATATATATTTTTTATGTCTTAATCAGGGTCGTTGGGCGGCGCCCTAGCGTGCTCTATTGGCCAGCCGCCACTGAAGATGACCCTGTTATAATGATTAAAAACAAAATAATTGACTGTTTTCCTTTATATGTTTAGAATTTACAGAAAATCTGCTACAAAAAGAAAATAAATTAGTGTTTGGAGAAACATGGAGCTTTAAAATGAGAATATGGTGGAAACTGTCAGAGCAGGAAAGATTACAATTAGGGAGAAAGGAGGCAGTTTGGTGCCAATTAAAGGTGCTCCTACATCACTGTAAAGATAATAAATATTAGATTATATTTACCAAAGTTGAGCAAAAATGCTTCACTGCCTGAGTAGTGAAATTTGCTCAACACATGACTTTCTCCTTGGAGCCAAAGGAATGTTTGAAGGACATGGAGGAGGAAGTAAAGGAAAGCAAAGAGTTGAATCAGGTGGAGAGAAGTGTCCGTTTATTTTGAGCTGTATCTCCGTGGGTCACCCAGGTTCATAAAGCAGCGCACTAACAGGATACATGAAGCAGACAGCTGTGTGCTATCAAGCTCCTCCAGACTCAACAGCGATCATAACTCATTTGGCTGAAATGAGCTCAGCTCAAAGTCCCTTTAGAGATGTTTTTGTTACGACCTTAAGTTTGCTCTCGTCCGAGGCAGGAAGCTTTAAACTTTAACCAATTTTACTGGGAGTTTATCTGAGGAGAGCACAACTGTTAACATAAGGTGCATTTGTCTTCACCCCCTTTTACCCTGATTCCCTTCACTAAAATCCAGTACAGAAGGGACCTTATTAAGGTCATAGGGAAGGGAATGTAAAATCATTCTGGCTTAAACATGTATATAAATCTACTCTTTATCAGACAATATTGTCCCAAAATTTAGAAAATCTAATTTAAAAGAAAATTCTGTCTTAAAATCTGTGGGTTTTTTGTTGTTATCTTATGCAGGCCAGTTAGCTAAACGTCAGCCTGAACACCTAAATTCATCCAATCATATATCAACGGTCATCTGTCAATCACATTTTTTTCGGTCATAGCATCTTGATTCATATGATGCAGCTAAAATACGCAACTGTTAAAATAAGAAATAATAATCATTTACTTTACGTCCCAGTGTTCACGGGGATGGGCGTCTGTGTCTTCAGCAGGCAGAGAGCTAACAGAACTGGCAGCGTTGCGAGGCAAGGGCTCAAACATGTACGGCTGTAAGCCTTCTACATCAAACCAAGCTTCTGCCGCCCTGGCGTCCTCTTCCACAACAACTTTGTCCCCACTTTCCTCCTCTAAATAAAAGATGTATGACGGAGGAGACTCATTCACGACCTCTGATACAAAACTCTCCTCCTCTTGCATGTTTCCTCTGTCCATAGCGTTCCTTGACAGCGTTGTTTCTAAGTCACCAATTTAGTGCTACTTGGTCCCAATGGAATTTCCCTTTGGGACCCTACTAGCACTAAGTTGCTAACTGATTAGCAAGATGCTTCAGACAAACCGGCCACAACCAAAATGCTTGCGAACCTTGCGAACCTTCCTCCACAACAATCCCACCCCCTTGATAGACGACCAATCACATTCACTGTGTTCACTTCTGTAAAGTCGTGCACCACTCAGGAGAATTCAGAAATGCTACGGTTGGATCAGCCGTTTCCCTACAACTTTAAACTTTAACCGATTTTACTGGGAATTTATCAGAGAAAAGCTCAACTGATTCCCTTAAATAAATTCCAGTACACAGGGGACCTTATTAAAGGTCTATATTCAGATGTTCTTTGAAGCTTGTTGGAGGAAGACTAAGGAATAAAGTTGGATCATTTAAAACACAGCTTTTATCATATATCTTCAGCTACTGTGTTCTGGTCGGTCAACTAAAATCCAAATGAAACCCATTTAGGTCTAATTAAAGGTAGTTTTTAGAGTGTATCATCAATAGTCCAACTCCTCACACATTTCGTGAGCAGAACCAGTAGCATCCATGTTAGGAGTCCCACTCAGAACCAGGACGTTTAATGATCTTTATCTGTGTCCTGACGCGTCTTCCATCCCGTAGAGGCCATGTTCTGGACTCCGGTGTCGTTTTCTTTAAGTGTTCTCATGGCTTCATCCATGCCTGCTCCACCTTCAAGAGTCAGCCATGTTTACCATGGATCCGTCATCGCCGCCATTGACTCTGGGTTCAGACGTCTCACATGTTTGCTTGTTTGTTTCTGTTGACACATTGCCACTGCATGAGGTAATGATACCCTTGTTTTTTGTTTTTTTTTTGTTTTCTTCTCCATTTTATCCTCACCTGCCCCCCCTTCCCCCTCCTTTTCTATTATTTTTCCGTTTCTTTTTGTTTTTTGACGACAGCAAGTTGGAATAGATCAGGGTGACATCCCAGATCTCTCACAGGTCAGTGTACATGCCACCTTCCACCTCTCTATTCACCTCCAGCTCCTCTTGTTTTTCCGTCTGTCCTCCCCTTTGTTTTCAGATTCCAGCTGTGTATGACGCTTCGTCTTGTCCTTAACGCCTTCACCCATTAACTCACCATATTTATTCTGGGTTTTTAACTGTTTTCCCCTCTTAAACAATCCTTTTGTTGACCTTCTCTCCCATATTTAGCTGTATTTTAACCTGCCATCATGTCTAACCTGATCTGTTTGAAGGTATCTCTCTTGGCTCTTCCCAAGTCTCCTTCCCTGCTTTCTCTTTCCTCCTAATTTCTCGTTATAGATCCAGGTTGGGGTGCCTCAGTTTGGCCCCTAAGCCACAAGCTAAATTGATGAAAAGACTCGTATTTGTTTAAAGAGAGAGAAAAAAAAAGAAAACAATGAGACCGTGCCTTGAAATTAGGAGAACAAACATAATGAAGAGAAGAAAGGGTTTAGAAAAATAGAGCATCTCTGCCTGGATAAGGAATCGGATTTTTTTCTTTTAATCATCAAATGTTTTAATTTGCTTTTCATCCAGCTGTGAGGCTGTTGACTAAAATTCCCTGAAGCAAAGTTGTTTTCTTTAATGCTCTTTGTTGTATTTGTTTACCTCGCTTTGACTTTATTTTCTCGGTCAGATTGTCCCCGATTTTGATCCACGTTTGATAGCAAAAAAAAAAACTAGTTTAGTTCTGTTTTTATTTTTTTATATCCCCTTTAAAAAAAAAAAAATCCAGAAACGTCACTTAAAGAGCTGCATCTAATGATTGACTTGTTTTCATCGTTGCTCATCAGTTGATCTAAATAACTGATGTAAAACTTTGCTCCGAGGGCCTCATTAGTTTAATTTTCTCTTAGCCAACAGTTTAAATATCAGACGTGTGATTCGACATCATTTGAAAACAAAGTCTTTTATCTTTTAAAGGTAATGAAATGACAGAATGATTTGCTTTTATATGCACATCACAGTAATGGCTAAGCAATTTATCATTATTAGTTTGATTTAATATTTAAAGAAGAGCAGTGAAAAGTGATAACTTTATTTTTTAGCCCTGTGTTAAAAAAAAAAGACAATTTAGATTTAAAATAAAAAAACACAATGGCATTGTTTTATTTCAAGTGAATATCATCAACTTATCTTATTTTAAGAGTGAAAATGCTCATTCCATTGGCACAACTATCTAATTTACCTACTGAATCAAGGGTAAATACACTTAATTTAGCACATTTAAGACTTATTTCTAGATAATTTTTCCAGTATGAACATGCTGTGTGTCTTTGCCATGGAGATTAATACTCCCGATCTGAAGGTGGTGGCTAACATTCAACGAATAAAGAAAACATGTTTTCCCAGTGGGTGGACATTTTCTATTAATATATAAATGAAAAACCTAAATAACTTATAAGCTAATATCTGACACTTACTCATAACTAGCATGTCTAAAATTGCTAAAACATTAACTCATGGGTGTAGAACCTCAGAGAATGTACATTCTTGACCGATAGATTATCTGCATTCATAACATGATCGTTGATAGAGAGCAGCTTATTGCTTGAAAGGACAAAAATAAAACTGTTTGGCCTTCCTGTTATCTTCTGAAATTCTCCTTCTCTAGCTTCTCTCCCTCAGTCTGATGAACTACCAACTTATATGGTACCTGAATACTTTTACCTTTTTAAAGATGTATTCTACCCCAAACGATTTAAACCTTTTCTGGATTGAAAAGGCCAACTTCTCCGTTAGCTTTAAACGATTATAGTCGGACTGTTCGGGTGTCTCATGTAGATGTTATCAGAGGGAAAAAAACATTAAACGATTAAAATCTCTAAACTAAAAATGCTTGGTAAAACTGAACATTTTCAGTTTGCAATAAACACACTTTCTTCTGTTTCTGCTCTGTGTGCCTGTTGCTGCTCCTTTACTCATCAATTTTTAATACTAAGAGCCTCTATTCGACACTGGCTGACTGTCGGAGCTCAATTTATTGATATACAAAGGTTATTAACATTGTAATGTTATATTTATACAAACTTACATACAAGCTGGACTAAAAACAACATTATGTGCGTAGCTTTTCTGACTGCCTTGTGTCTTTATTATCATTTTAACTGAAAGCTTTTTAACAAGCAGCCTCTTTGGTGGCTTGTTTTCCTCCTCAACATCCTAAAATCTTTTGTACATTTTGGATCTGTGAGAAACGTGTCCCTGATCACAGGGTTCCCGTAAAATCGATGATGTTTGCAGTAGTCTGTGGACTGAGTTGAATAATGCTGTATTTGCAGTCAATAATGAGTGTTTTTCTTCCCCTCCTACTCTGTTGCAGAAGACTAAAGGATCATACATTGTAGGTGGTGGGTTACTAACTGTACCGCTTCACCACTCAAACCTCCATAAAGGAAAATTCCTCCTTTGACCTAGGCTCTATTTTTCTAGACTTTTCTGTTTGGTTGTTTTTTTTTGAGCAGGGACATTTTGGGGGAAATTTCTCAGTGTTGCATAAGAATCCTGGAGTCGTTTAGTCTGATGTTGCTTTAGCGTCATTCTGCAGGGTAATGGTCAAAGTCTTTGCTTTTTGCCTCTTATTGATGTAAGGTTTTTACATAACTCAAAGTAAACATTAAAAGGCAGCTTTTTAAAGCGTTGCTGTCGTTTTTTTTACAGATTAAAATCTTTAAATGCTCATCAGTTCAGGTTGTGTTGCATCAGCCATGCTGACAAAACCAAATCAAAGGTTTTTATCTTGTTTTTTGTTCTTTTTTGATAAATTTCACTTTTATAAAAGTTAAATGAAAATGATTTAAAGATGATAGAAGCTGAGAGGTCAGTGTTCCCAGATTCTACTTTGTGTTATTTTGGATAACTGTGTTAGAGCTGTGAACATAGTGGGGTTTGTTGTTCAGTTGTGACTGATGAATAAACAGAGCTCTTCTTTGATCAGGACCCTGGTATTAATAATAATACATCTTTATAAACTGTAGGAACCCTGGACAGAGTTCTTAGCTGTTGATCTTAGCTTCATGTGGTTTCAAACATATACTTTGAAGGTTTTCAGGTGGCTGTTGTTCAATAGGACTCACAGAGTTCTTACAATCTAAGAGTTTTGGAGATCTTTCTCCAGGTTCCTTTTGTCTTATTTAGATCCACCGCTTGGGATTAAACCCAAAGCCGTCTGTGGATCTGTCTATAGCTGTAAGCATTTTTGTGACTGGAAGAAAGTGAGTTTCTTGTGTAAAGTGCGTGAAATGCTCTTTATGGCTAGAAAAAAACGACGTAGATTCGGTCCATTTAACACTCTAAAGGGCCTTGATTCTATTAAGAGACAGAAAGAAGTGGAATAATGGTGCCCTGGTTTAAAAATAGGGGAATTTTCCTTTACGACTCTGCATGTAGATCATACCTACTGTTTCAGACTGTGCAACTTTAACACCTTGAGCATTTACAGGCATGACCATCTATTTTTCTTTCCACTGTAAAATGGCCCGATGTCGAGTCGGTTAATTCACGCGTGTCTGCTTCAGGTGGATTGCTCATAGCCGCCACACATACACAGAAATATGAACACAGGCAGGTTTGACACAAACGACAAAAGGCCATGGAAGCTCATGAATAGAAAATGAGGCTTCGCTCCTGCACCCCTCCATCTTCATCTGCATGAGGAAGTCTCTGCAGAGGTTTTTTTTTTTTTTTTGTCACTCATCTGAATTCCATCCTCCTCCTTACATGGTGTTCATATCGTGTTTGTCATGCACGACAGCGTTTCTCCTGTGTGCTTGACAGAATAGTGAATAGCCTGGTTATTACAGTGCAGTTATTGTCATTTTTATGCTGACTTTTATCCACATCTTTTAAAAGTTTAACGTAAAGTATTTGCTCGACACGGACCAGTGTTTCCTATGGTGGTTTTAAAGAGCTCTGGTTTCAAAAACTCTTATTCGCCGTCATGTACTGATAAAAAAAACAACTATAAGATAGTATGTACTGAAAGGTTTTAGATTAATATTTTATAATGCTTAAATTGATAAATCTATAGACTATTAAATTAATATCATGCAATATATTATTGAGGTATGCCTAAAGGAAATATATGCTGCTATTTTGCATGTACAATAAATCTGAAATTATCTTAAAATTTATGTTTAATTATTTTAAGGAGAACAAAGAGCTCATTTTGATGCCTTTATATACACTGCAAAATCTGATCTTTCTCAAAACAACTGCTTAAGTTCAAGTAAATATGTTTTTCTGACGATGGAAATTGTATTTATTTGCCCCAAAATAGAATATTATCAATTTAACATAGGAATGGTTACTTTCTTTCTTGATCTAAACATAAATCATCGTATTCCACTGGCTAAATGTCAGACCTGCTCAAATAAAGGGGAAATACAGTTATTTATGTTCCTACTTTTCTTGCAATGTGAATTTGACTTTTATGGTTTTATGTGGATGGGACATCAGCAACATTAGCAGTTTGCTGTGGTCAGTTGACCAGCTCCCCTTTACACAGTAGAAAAAAAAGTTACACAAGCAATAACTAGGTTAATCACTGTTAAAATCGCCCCTTTTTCGTAGAATAGGGACAGAAATGGACAAAGCAAGCTGGCTAATGGTAGCAATCTTCCTTGAAGAATACAAGGCAAGGAGGAGGACCAGAATCTTGCTGCGTGAAGAACACTTCCTTTTGGACTTATCTAGTTCGCACTTTATACGCCATATATTCTGGCATAACACAGGTTTTACCATGGAAAAGTCTCATTTCTGTTTCATTACCCTTTTATTGAAGAATCGTCAGTCAGAAAATATAGGTTACGCCTTCCACATGTTGCAGTCAAGTCTAAAAACACTAGAACTCATAGCCTCACAGTGTTACTTTGTGTGTAAAATTTAAAATGACAAAAAACATCATGTTAAATAATATCTCTTTATTTTTCTGTAATGGCTGAAATAACTGGTGCTTTAAACCAGAAGATTAGGATGTATTTTGCATGAATTTTGTTTTTTACTTCAGAGAAAACTTTTACGTAGAACACACTGGTCTGTGTCTAGTATTCATACACTAGATCTTTAGAAGATGGTTTAAATACCTAATTTTCTGTCTGGTAGAGCTAATATTGACCAGGTGCACAAAGGGTTTAGAAGTGTTTGTTAATGTACTTTTAAGTAGATTTACAGTCAGAGTTGACCTCTTTTTAAGTTGCATGTCGCTGTCTCTTTAACTGCCAGCCGACGTTTTGGGAGGGTCCCATCATCTAGCCAGCAGTTTCTGCATCTGTGTGCAGGTCTGCTGCTCTGCCAGCAGCATTCTTGTGGAGACGGGCAGACATGACGTTGTCATATTTGCACAGTGGGAGAATTTCCCATGTGTGTTTTTTCAGCTAAATGAGTTCCTAGCTGCTGCTGGGCTTTTTTTCCCCCCTTTTTTGAATGTTTCTTTTCTTTTACACTTTGAATTAATTTCTCCCTTTGCTTTTCTTCCTCTTTTCTGTGGTCTTTTAACCACTAATGAAGCACCTAACAACCACAGGATAGTTTGCCCAGCAGCTGGAGCTCCACCTGCTCCATCTGAAGCTGAACTGTTATCTTTAGCTGCATAGCAACAGTCCTTAGTAACCTGTTCACTAACTAATTTAGATGGAGTTATGTTTAGCCTCCCATTGATGGGAGTCATTTAGATGCACTCTCCATGGCGGGTTTTTTTTTTATTTTCTGGACAGGCAATAAGATGGAGTGTAGGATAATAGTTTCAAAGTGCAACAGGTAAAGGGTGGGAACATATTGAATCTAAAATCTGACGAATCAAATGAATCCTGGCATTCAGAGCAGTGCTAAATAAAAAGGTAGAGGGAAGAAAGGGTTTGCTGGAGGTATCGTCGCCTTCTGCTCATTTGAAGCAAGGAGGGAAAAAAGAGCCCCGTCTCTCCTTTATTCCCCCACCTTTTCCCTCACTCTTTGTTTTTCTACCTCCTCCTTTGTTCTTCTGCTAACAATGTGAGTGTTTGCTGCATGTTGCCATGGCTATTCTTGGAGCCTGATGCACTCCGTTACCTTCCTGAGAGACCGACTAACTCTGGGTGCTGTGTTCATGTGTGTGGGATTTTTATTTCATTTTGTTTTTCTTTCATTTTTTGCATTTGAGAGAGAGGAATGTTCCCCAGAAGCCTTTTCAGATTGGTGAACATCTCTGTTTGTCTTTTGCTGGTGCTCTCACGAACCTCAGGCCCCCAGCAGCCTCCTGGAGGCTTTGGAGCAGCACCTGGCCTCCCTGGAGGGCAAGAAGACGAAGGAGTTTAATGCAGACACTAGGTGCACTTACACTCACTCACTCACAGTTGATCTTAAAGAACCCCCCCGCTCTCCATTCAGCTCTAACACATTGTTGATTTCTCTTCTTCTCTTCTCCAGAGCGTCCACCCTGTCGAGTGCCGTCTCATCTCTGTCCTCCACTGGCATGTCCTTCAGCCGCATGGACGAGAAGGAGAAGCAGCAGGCCCTGGAGGAGGAGCAGGCCAGGCTGCAGGCTCTCAAGGTAAACTGCCTTTATTTAGCCCCCCCACCCACCTTTAAAGGAGGCGGTTAGGCTCTGAGCTGGAGCAGCCAAGAGGCTCTCAGCAGGAGGGCCGGTATGTTCCCATCCGTCCTTCCTCAAGTGACTTAGAGTGGCTCTTTTGGAGGCAGTTCATCAAGCTCTGTGCAGCTGCTTCTTAGGATGCAAAGGGCTTCACGCTGTTTCTATTTGAGATGCTTTCATTAGGAGAACATTTACCCTTTATAAGTGGGTTTAAAATTAGCTTTACTTCTAAAATCTTTTTGCATGTTAAAGAAATATGCTGATAAAACAAATTTTTTATGTTTTATTCAGTTAAATTTCTGCAGCATAGGGCCGGGCGATAATTCAATAACGATATATATCGATCGATAGACGTGTGGCGCAATAGAAAAAAAGAGGGTCGATAAAAGTTCGATAAAAAAGAAACGCAGTTTTCCTTCCTTCTCATTGTAGCCTAGCATGTAGGTTTATGCTAGTCACTGCTTCCTCCCAACCAATCACAATCGCGGACCCAGGCATGCCGTCACAAAGCCCCGCCCTCTCAAACCACAACACAGAGCACATGAAGATGTGCAGCAAGGAGAGGCGGAGGAATTGTTCCAAAGAAGGTTTTTGTAGTTCGGCAGTCTGGCAGTATTTCGGTCATGGCAAGTCGGACCAAAAACAAACCACAGTCATCTGGAAAATGTGTAGGGAACCAGTGAAAACCAGTCTGATAACGAAACCAACTTTTTTTTTTATCATCTCAGCCGCTCACAGCCGCAGGAGTACGAGCTGTGTAGGCCCCGGTGCGGCTCTCCTCCGAGGAATCTTCGGGAATTTCGGGAAAATATATATATATATATTCAGTTCTGGGCAGTTTCCCACGTAGTTCTAACGATTGAGAGAAAAATGCTGAGGGGCCAGAAACTTCAAATTAATAACTCAGGTTAAAGCAGGAATGCGGGTGGTGGCCGGGGGGTGGGTGGGTCCATTTATTTATTTGTTATATCTATTTTGGTCACTTTTCTGGTCACTTTAGGTTATTCTTTGTCAGTATTTAATAACATAACTCAGGTCTCTTAAGTTATTTTTCTTTAAAACAATTCTGTTATGGTTAAAAAAGTTGGTTAAATAAAAATTTAATTAGAAGTCTGTGTTTGTGTTCAAATTTTTTCAATAATTATCGATATCGATCAATATGCATTTTTTTTTATCGATAAGCTTTTTTTCTATATCGCCCAGCCCTACTGCAGCATCTCCCACTTGTAACTAGATGCTTCATGATACTGCAGATTTCTTACACTGACTGGCCACTTTATTAGGTACAGACCCAGAAAAGTGTCTGAAACCTTCCTCAGATGTGTTTAGTCCGTTTTAAGGCGGGGCGAATAATGGCATTTACAATATAATTGCAATTTAATAAAATGTCAGAGGCTTTTAGTTTTAAACAGATTTAACACGAATGAGACACTAATTTCCTGACTCCAGCCCTTTAGATGGCGGCAGCACGCTTTAAGAAGGAAGCGAGTTGCAGCTAACCTGCAGATCCAGGCAGACTAACAGAAATTATAATATTATAAAACAAAGGTTACAGTCCTGCTACAATGGACTATAAACAAATGAAACCATGGAGTAAAACATCTCCTTACCTGTTGGTAACACAAAGTAAAATAGAAATAAAACCACAATATTGGTTGAAAATGATCCCTGTTTGACAAAATCATTCAGCCTTTAGTCTGAGAGGACTTTAAAGCCACAAAATCGATTCAACCGATCCAGGAGTCTTTGTCGATTCTGTCTCACACTAAAGCAAACCTATAGCAGATCTTCTTAATCAGGATGCTAAAAACATTCCCCAATGATTTGTGGAAATTGTCACCCTAGTTAGTGAGAAATTGCACCGAAAAGGAGACTGTTAGATATGCTGTATTGTTTTATTTAGCCACTGACCTTAGCGCTCAGACTAGTGTGCAGCATCTCACTCCTTCTCTCTGTATTCCTGCTCCACTGCTTGCCTGCCTGCTCTCAGCTTCGTTTCTGCTTCTTCATGCAGCTAAAGCAAATACTGTATTCACATGGATGAAAACAACCTTTACTACGATAAAGGCTGTGAATAAACAGTAACAGGGCTTTTGATATTCATTATAAAATAAAAATTAGCAGAAAAAAGAAAAAGCAGAAATTTTGAGACATATTCTTAAGGTAAAGAAGCTGTTTCTCATGTGGGTTTTTCTCAGACATCTGCAGTAAAATCATAAATAATATTTATTCTGGATACAATATGGTCATTTCTACAGCAACACCAGAGAAAGGGTTGCATCAGCTCTCAGGAGCTGAAAGAAACAAAATCCCAGAAATTATTCTGACAAAATAATTTTTTTAATGTCACTTAATATCTTTAAGAAAGCAAAAATATTACTTAAAATGTCCAGTTTTAGTGTGTTTATATCATTCAGTTGTATGTGTTACTTTATTTGTTGTTTTCTTCACTGTAGCAGCACTATTCAGATTTCCTGGCTGTGATTAGTTGGTTTCATCCATCTGAATGCAACACTTCAAGATGAGTGCCGTGATCGGCTGATAGGGGTGATCAACTCTTGAGCGCAGAGATGTTGATGTTGAACGAGCAGAAAGAAAGCTGAGCAAACAAAGCCGATGGAGCGGTTTGCCAGAGTTGAGAGTGAGATTTCATCACTGCATCCTGCTCTCATTGAGTGCCCAGGTTGGTGGCATGGTGTGAGGCAGGGTCCAGATTAACATCCTGCTCTAAGCAGCCGTCAGTAGCGTAAACTGCGTTCCTCCTTAACCCTGTTCCTTCACCACCTGAACTGCTGATCCATGGCAGGATGGATCCACCATCCTGAAGGTTGGAGCAGGTAAAGCTTTATTCTTGTGATCCGGTGTTTAAGCTCGCTTCAGGCACCAGATTAGCCCTTAAACACGTCCTGTCTTTTATACCCCTTCTGTAACCAGAGGTCATGTGACATCTGCCAGATATTTTAATCCACACAGCTGCTGCTGCTACAGATTAGCTCTTTTTCTGAGCGTTCTCTTCTGGAAAAAAAATCTCAACAAATCAACAGTTTACAGGTTTTCTGCAGGTCATTAAATAATTATTTTTTAAATTAAGGCCTGAATTGGCATTAAAATTCATCAAATGTTAATAGTTTGGCATTTAAAATGTGTTATTTAGAAAAAAAATATTTATAAAAACAATTTATTTAGCGAGAAAAAGCTAGAGAATGAGAAAATGCAAATTTCAACAAAAAGTAACTGGAAAACGAGGAATTGCAGCCTGCCGACGCTAAAGACGAAGAAGGAATTTGCCGTCTATATATGAGTCATGGGTACCTGTTGATGGCATTAAAATTGATTTCTAAGAGAATCAAAAAGAATTAAATTAGAGTTCCCAGGGGTTGACGTTAAGGATTTTTACCACTTGCCCAAAGGCTAAGTGACTTTCACATTTCATTTGCCCAGAAACAATTTTTACTTGCCCAGTATAATGTGTGGTAAATATAGTTCCTAATAAGCATTTTTGTATTTATATCAATGAAACATGTTTGTTTTTTAAATGTTTTTTGTAATTCAGTATTTTTTAAGTTTACAGGTTCTGGTGTGTATCTGCATGCGTCAGATAATGAACTCAAGCACATGCTTTTCAATCCTTCCTGCACATTCTTTTCAAACTAAACTTTGCTTTAAAGTGTTGTGTGCTTGGAAAAATATAAATTGTAATGTTAAAAATCTTAAGTTAAAAACTTAAGATAAATCACAAGACAGAAGTCAATGTCACAAATGAATAACTTTTATTTTAGAGTCACAGTATGTTTACACAAGATAATACTATTAATATAATGTGACTTTTCTAGAGAATCATACAGTTATTTTATACAGGGTTTCCACAGTCTAACATAATTTCAGAATTCCCTGACTTTCAACTGACTCAGGATTAGTTTTCCCTGAAAATAAAATAATAATAATAATAAATAAAATAAATGCAGCTGTTTGTCGTTTTGGTAACTACATCAAAATTACCGCTAGGTGGACAAAAATCACTCAATCTGGTGGAAAATCACCCGGCTTTTTCAAATCACGCCAGAATGCTTACAAAAAAACAAAAATGGCGCCGGCAACGCTTCTTGGTCGTTTTCATCGAATGTCGGTGATTTTAAAGTAATTTTGAGTGATAAGTAATTTTTTTTTTTGCGATCATTGCACTTGCAATGAAATTTGTACTCATAACAATAAAAACTACTTGCCCCGGAGATCGTGCGATGGTTAACACCGAGCCCTGGTTGCACATTCCTGTACTAACCCTGGTTTAGAAAATACTGAACCGACCGTAACATTTCGTGAAGTTTCTAGTGAAATGAACATGGTTTCATTCCAGTGTTGTAATGTGTAAAAGCAGCAGCCTGATTCTCCATTTCTACACACTGTACGCCTCTGCACAACACGGCCCGCTGTGTGCTGGAGCTCACAAATGCTGATGGCCCATCCGCTGAGTTCTACTTCTTTGAGGTCTAAACTCCAGTTGAAAATAAAAGGCCAGAGGCTTCATACGCCACAGAATGTGTCGGCATTTTTCACTCCAGCGCTGGGAGTCCTGCCTCGCAGCAAACTGTAATTGAGTAAGAGCTCAGTGGGAACTGCAACCCAGGCACACAGCAGCTCAGAGCCAGTTTGTGTGTGTGTACTAAAGCTTTAGCTGATGTGTAGCATCTAGTAAGGAATATGTGCACTTTGCTCAGCAGTGCGGTCTGCGTCGGCTCCCGCCAGCCTCTTGTGTACATGAATCATGTGAGATTATCCACAGTGTGTTGCCTGGGTGTCTCCATCTGTTTGATTAAATTTAACTTTGCTGTTTACTCTGTGCCCTTGGTTTGTCCCACTGAATCTTTTTTTTTTTTTAGAAAGGAGAGCAGAGATTAAGCTGAATAAGAAATCTGGGGTCATCTGAAAGCTTCCCCATCCAGCTGTTTGCTCTCTGGTGTCCATATGGTTCCACATACCCGTACAAAAACACACTTACACGCTTAGCTACTGTCCAGCTGGGGCTTTAGTCCAAACAATACCAGCAGTTGTTATTTTTTTCCCTCCTCTCTACTCTGTCGGAATAGAAATGAGCAGGAGGCCGGATCAGAGGGAGATTCTGTTTTATTAATCCGCTCTGAATCCTTTAAAGGCAGCAGAGGTTGTAAAGTGACTCAGAACATTTCTTCACCCTAAAGTTGTGCACAGAATAAAAACCTCTGTCTGGCCTTGTGTAAATAAACCACATGAAGGCGCTCGGAGGAGCCGTGTTTTCATTCCATACCAATAACCTGCCTGACTGCTCCGCTGGAAATTGCCTCATTCGTCGAGCACACGGTTTGTTTTCCCAAAGAGGGGATTTTCAGGAAATCTCCCACTGCGGATTCCTGGATTAAAAAAAAAAGAAAACTTTTGGATGGATCCCTGTAGAGCAAATGAAAAGGTCTGATGTTTGATGTGAGATTATAAGCATAAGAGGTTAGGATTATTTTCTTAATTTCTGGATTAACTATTAGTCGACAAATTGACTTTTTTATACTTTGAAGTCAAATAAATGTGATTTTCAACACTTTCGCCTATTAAAACCACATCGTAAATGTGGGAAAGTGTGAAAAGTTCTTGGAAAAGGAAGCAGTGTCTCATGTTTTTCCGGTTTCCTCCCCGTTTCTCACCTGAGATCGATCCAGAAGCTTCGCTCCGTTTCCCAGATGTCAGCAGCGTAACGAAAACAAACCCTGCTCTTCTTGTCACCTCATTTTTTTCACATCTATTGGCGGCATCACCAGCCAGAATGAAGTTATATTAAAATGCATAATGTGTCCGTTTTAGCGGTGGACAGACTGTGCTGATGTTTGCCTCACCAGAGAATGAAGCTGTTCTCAGCAGCACCTGGGTCACAGAACCCCGACAGAACGGGGTCGGCTCCTTCATAGAGCAGGGGTCATATTCTCAGTCTTTCAGCTTAAAAAAAGCCAAACATTAAACCCAAAGGCAGCTGTTTAACTTTCTGTTTTGTCCCTGTTATGTTGATGAGTCAGATAAGCTGTTGTCATGAACTTCTTAGAGATGAATTAATCTTTTGTGTCCATTTCCAAAGCCTGTGAGGATCCAGGACAGCCGAGCCTCTCTGCACGCTGCGCTGTCATCTTCACTCCACTCACGTCTGATGTCTGTGTCTTCCAGGACCAGCGCCTGAAGGAGATCAGCATGCAGACTCCCCCCTCTGCCTCCCCCAGCAGCCAGTCGGTCGGCAGCGCCAACAACAACAACCACATCTCACAGACCCCGGAGTTGTTTGGCTCCGCGCTGAATGCAAACAGGTGCACAAGCTAAGGCAGACGCCATCAGGAGTTTGCTCATGCTATTAAAATTCCTTCATTTTTCTGATAAACCGACACGTTTTTAAAGGAATCTGCAGCCGATCAGTTTATTCTGTTTTATCCTAGTTCAGGTTGTTTTGGTAAAAATTTCAAAAATCTTCGTATCTGCAGCCCTGATCTGATCTGATGAAGCATATAATGCACATAGAATCTATTGCATTTAAAAAATGCTAATTAAAATGAATCCCTTAAACCAGCTGCTATGAATCTACATGTGCATTTCAATGACTTAGAATATGCTCAGAAAGTTTGTCCATTTCATTAAATAGATTAAAACTGAAACTCATTATTATGTTCATTACACTCAGGAGCTCAAAGGCTTTTCATTTCCGGATTATAGCCAGTAAAAAAAAACACTAATTTAAAATATCAAACAAGGTAAAACCAACTAAAACCTATATTTTTTATAGCCTAATTATGTGGACCATGTCACTCTCTGAATAATTACTTGATCAAGCCTTTATAGTAATAATACTGTACAGTATTTTGTGTTGTTAAATGGTCATTGGGCATCCTGCATCCATTGTGTTTGGACTTAGACTCAGCTTTATTTATCCCTTGGGATTACTTCTTCAGAGAAATTCTGGTTCCAGTAGATTATACAGAGATGCAAAGATACAAAGAGTTAAAGCAAGATGCCATTAAAGAAAAACATACAACAGACAATATAAAAAGAGAAAAACATACAACAGACAATATAAAAAGAGTATATAGTACAAGAGAGCATTAAAAAATTGTAATGTCCTGGAATATGTTTCCTTTAGATATTAAAATATCTGCACAGTAGAGACTACATAGTACTTGGATTATTGCACTTGCACTGCAGAAATGTACTGACCTTTTAGATAAGTAAAGTACACAGTAGTTGGCATTTGTTATTACACAGTGAGAGAGAAGGATATTGCACATATTGTATGCAGCTGTTATGTTAGGCGTAGAGGAAAGCTTGGTTACTGTAAACGTTTGGACTGATGAAACACAGTGGAGCATCAGCAGCAGATCTGCCTCCCAAATCATCACTGACTCTAGATACTTGGATTCCTTCTCTCACAAGCGTTCCTCTAGGATCAGGAAACTTCATTTCTATTTGAAATAAAACATTTACTTTATGTCCCTATATAACTCTTGAATTTCAAATTAGATAAAGATATAAATACCTGATATGATAACACAATGAATCCTAAATACCTTTATTATTTAGCAGTGTGGAACATTGGTCACATACTCAAAGAACAATATATAAATATTAGATTCTATCAACCTTAAAACAGAAGCAGAGCGTTTCTATCAGTGTGCTTATATGGAAATTCTAGATCCAGGCTGATATATTAAACTATTTGTTTTGGCTGTTATTGGAACGATTTCCAAACTCCATATGTGATCAGGAAATCCCAAATTTACTCTCATTTGTTTCGTTTACATCCACAAATTTCTCCATCTAATGTAATCCTTTGTTGATCAGAAATTGTAAATGTGTTTAAGCCGGGCTTACACTTTTTTTTGCCCTATTCGGACCGACTTTCCAGTCGTGCTGGAATTTTCCGATCGGGCTGACTTTCAGACCTCCCAATCAGGAATCGTGAGGTCGGGAGAAAATCAAACATGTTTGATTTTCAGTCGACCGTCATTAGCAAATCGCTTAGTGGGCAAATAAGGATTCTTCTTCTTCTTTCTCTTAGATGTAAACACAGAAGCATGGTTCTGATGTGTGTGTATACATGCACCAAATTTTACATCAAATTAAATCATTTAAGCATGCACCAAACTGTCTTAATTTTCCATTAAGTTGTCCCGCTGATGTTGCAGGCATAAGCAGTAGAGACTATTTTACACCAAAGGTCAGAATGGGTGTGTAATCGGACAGGCAGACATCAATAACACCCCCCCTCTCGTTTCGAAGGAAACTTCTTTCCCATCGGACCAAATCTGATTAAAATATTCAGTCTAACATTTTAACATTAAATATTGTTGATCTAATCAGGCCTTCAATCCTAATATTAGTGTCCATGTAAATGTAGCTAATGTTGTAGCTTAGGTTATATGCTCTGAGCTTCACACATTTGATCCCATAAACGCTGCCGTTACCTTTGATTTCTTCCTTTCAATTAACGTTCCATCAGTAGGCCTGATAACGACACCCTGAACAGCCTTTTTCCCTGATGTTGACCTTTTTTCTTTTTTTTTTAAACAATGTCTTTTTTTTATTTCCAATAAGAGTACTTAAAAAAACATGTGTTGCACAATTTGCACAATGAAGAGCAGGCAAACCTCGTTGCATACACACATACAAAACGAAATAAAAGAATTTAATAAAAAAAAAAAAAAATTTTTATTAAAAAGAGCACGTACATAAAACAGTAACAATTAAATTAATAAAACTTTTACACTCAATAGCCTTACAAATAAATACAATCTACTGTTGCTTAAAGTTGTAGGGAAATCAAAAATAAATGTCAAATAATTCTGGCTTAAACATGTATAGAAATGTACTCTTTATCAGACCATATTGTCCCAAAAGTTAGAACATTTCTATTAAAAAAAAAAAAAAAAATCCTGTCTTAAAATCTGTGTTGTTTTTGTTGTTGTTATTGTTTTTTTTTTAGTCATCTTATGCAGACCAGTTAGTTTTACATTCACTTGAACACCTAATTTCAGCTGGTCATCTGTCAGTCAAATTAATTTGGTCATAGCATCTTGAATCATATTTCGCAGCTAATAAACGCAACGGTTGAAATAAAAAATAAGAATAATTTATTTACCTACATTTTTTTATAAAAAATGTATGACAGAGGAGACTCATCCACGACCTGCGACACTAAACTCTCCTCCTCTTGCATGTTTCCTCTTTCCATAGCGTTCTTTGACAGTGTAGTTTCTAAGTCACCAATTTAGTGCTACTTGGTCCCAATGGAATTTCCCATTGAGAACCTGCAAGCACTAAGCTGCTAACTGGTTAGCAAGATGCTTCCGACAAACCGGCCACAACCAAACATGCTTGCGAATATTCCACCACAGCAATCCTACCCCCTTGATAAAAATCAATCACATTCACCTTATTCACTCGTGTAAAGTCGTGCACCACTCGGGAGAATTCGGAAATGCAACATTTGGAACGGCCGCTTCCCTACGACTTTAAGAAAGTCCATTAAGGGTGTCTATATTTCTTCAAATTCTCTGACTATAAAGGTTAACTTTTCTAATTTGACACACATTGACATTTCTCTCATCCAAGGTTTTATAGAAGGTATTTCAGTTTTATAGAAGGTATTTCAGTCTCCCTGATAATGACCTTTAATGGTATCATTGAAATTAGCAAGGGTGATTGAAATATTTCATACTGTGTGCAGTTAGTCTATAAACTAGGAGCTTCTTTGAGTTTAACAATGAGATCGTTCTTAATCGCCTGGTTGTTTATAAAAGCTTAAGAGAGAAGCCTCCCACTGTGGCAGAAATCTGCCAGGGACTTGAACGTCTGCTGCTTCTACGTCAGTTTGCATTCGGAAGCTCAGAAATCTCTCGGATTCCTTCCCAGGAAACAGAAAAAGTATTATTTGGATTTATTAATCGAGAGAAGAATTTACACACTGTGAATTTACTGCCGCTAACTGTTTTATGGCTCAGGGGGGAGATTTTACAGCCCTGCAGAGAGAGGGGATTAATCTTGATCTGTGACAAACCAAGGTTTTTAGTGGCGAATTTAGCTATTTATGCTCAGTTGATTAAATATTAATACTCTCTCTCTGTCTCCTTTCATTTCTCTATACCTTTTCCTCTCCTGATGTCTTGATTTATTCCCCCACTTTCTCCTTACCTCCTCTTTTTCACTCAATATTTTTCTTTTCTTTTTTTTTTAACTCTTCCCTGCTGGGTTTGTGTTGCTCCTCAGCGTCCCCAACCTGAATAGTGACCTGTTTGATCTGCAGCCGGCCTTCATCCCCGCTGTGCAGAGCACTCCTTCCATCTCCAACGCCAACAGTGCCTGGGGAGGTAAGCTTTGAACGCACACATGAAGGCACCAGCAAGGGCATAGGACATGGCTGTCTCTAACAGATTCACAAGAATATAAGTCAATTCAATGCTAAAATATTCAGTTATCCTCCTTTTTTTTCTTTAGATCAGTAAAATAGATCTGGGAATATTATTTTATATGCAGTAGTGTTTACATTTTACAAAATACAATCTTTATTTTGAGTATTTTCGTTGAGTGGCTGACGTGACTATGCAGGAAGGTTGTTTTATTAATATTCTGCTTTCTGCTCTTAATTCTGATTTATATCAAAATGGTTTTTCAGCACATTTATGATGCTTTACTTTTTAATAACAAGGTTCTGATGGCCTTTGGAAGACAAACAGCCCTTAGCATCACTAATCCTCCACTGTGTTTCACCAGTGGGTGTGAGAATTCTTGTTCACATTTGAACCTTTATGTACAGAACTATATATTTAGATCAGTCTAGCCTGTGGGTGAATGCAATTCCACGTTGATGCTGGATCTTGCCAGCTCTGTGATTTAAATGTCTTCCTCTTGGGTCTCACTCTCCAAATGTCCAAATGAACCGAACACAGGAGACGTCGCCCTTCATTTTCATTTTACATGTTTGTCAGGGTGGAAAATGTGGCTGTGGTAGAAAGTGAACCCCAGCGTAGGTGTTCATATATTAGCTTTGCCCTGTGTGTTCCTGGGGGGGGGAGAAAGAGAGAAGGAAGCAGGCTGACATTTCAGCTCGCTATCAGCTGTCTTAAATCAAAGTGTAGCACAATGATGCATCTAGAAGCTCTGGTAGTGTGGGGGTATTAAAGGCTTTATGTTACAGGATTATGCTGAAGCTATTTTGAAGGCGCTTGGCTGGATTTCAAAGTAGGAGCTGCTTGTAAGAGACTGGATGTCATCGTCTGTGGTTCCGACTCCATTGCTCCCCATTATTTTCTGTACATCAAGGCAGCAATCTGCACAAAGTGATTAGATGTTTGTTCAGGAGATCAGTTGAGGTGAATGAAAAGGGGTCACAGTGGGTTTTATTTTGTTGAAGGACTGCTTGATAACAAAGCTCTGCCTGTTAAAGTGGGCAGAATCTTGAAGAAATCAGCCGTTAGCTGTTAGGTTAGCAGGGATTTACTCATTTGTTATTTATTTTTAATATTTAGGGATGTAAAATTAAATTCAAGAATCTAAACTCATTTTATATTTTATTTACCTTCTGGTATTCATAAAGTATTTTTGATTTGAATTGAATTTAGACATATGGACTAAACTGTTTGTACCCATTAATTAATGAAAGAAGCAACCCACAATGGTCAAAGGTAATAAGAAATAAAAACTCTATGTAAATGAAATGAAAACAAATAAAATAAATAAAAACACTGGACTTTGGAAGTTTGAAGACATTTCACTTCCTATCCAGGAACTTTTTTCAATTCAAAATTTTTTTTTAACTTTTTTGAAATGACTCTGACCTGAATGACTGAGAATCTTCACCAGCAAAAAGGTCAGAAATAGTTTTTGCAATCATGCTTCAACAGAATAATTTAAATTAATAAACTAATTAGAAAAGTTTGGACGAAAATGATTATAGCCTTAAAAAATATTAAATAATGTGTCCAAAGGGACGCGTTAAGTCAATGTGCATCCACTAATCAGCACCACATCATCTCTACTATCTTTGCATGAGTAAATGAGCCTGTCCATATATTAGGCTACAGGTAGTCACTGGGCTGTTTGGTAACATGGTGTGTACCGCACTCTACCTGGACAGAGGAAAGGAAATTAGATAGGAAATTATAGACTAGCATATTAAATGATAAATGTTCTATAAGCATCTCGGAACAGCTTGATGTTTCTTTGACTTCAGTTACACATTAAGAAATTTTAGCTTAATGAGACTGCAGCTAACCTCCCTGGATGTGGCTGCAGGAGGACAATTGATGACAAATTAAAGAGAACCAGAGAGAACACAGAGAGCAGAAATTATTCTAAAGGGATTATAGCTGAACTACAGTCTCCAGGAACATCTGTGTCAGATCGCACCATCTGTTGTTGTTTGATCCAAAGTGGATTTAATAGTAGATGAACAGAAGCGACACCAAATAAAAAATGAATAAAAAACAATGGAATTTGCTTAACTTCATGTTGACAGATCGCAGAGCTTCTGGGAGAGTATCCTATGGACAGATTAGGAAAAAATATATAACTTTCTCCAACTTTCTGAAGCAGCCCTCTATGAACCCTGACCTAAATCCTCTTGAGCTACCTAAATGAAAAAAGAAGATGGATCAGACTAAATACTGGGTAATCCTTGAGGAAAGCCTGATAGAGGCAGAAAAAAGACTTGAGACTATTGACCAGAGGTAATTCAGATCTGAGGTAGTTTCTTTGCTTAGAGACAATTCAACCAGATCATACAGTCAGACTGGTTCAAAGTTTCCTGTCAAAGGAAAACCAGTTGATTGTATTTACTCTTCGACTCGAAGGCAATCCCTCAGACTAAGCATGTTTGTAGCAAAAGTGGAGAGGAAAAACTCCCTTTTAACAGGAAGAAACCTCCAGCAGAACCAGGCTCAGTGTGAGCGGCCATCTGCCAAGCCGACTGGGGTTCAAGGAGACAGAAGCAGAGATAGAAAAAGAAGCAGAGATACAAAGGGTTCCCTATGTCCTCCAGCAGTCTAAGTCTATAGCAGTGTAACTCTAAGCTTTATCAAAATGGAAAGTTTAAGCCTAGCCTTAAGAGTAGACAGGGTGTCTGCCTCCCAGACTAAAACTGGTAGTTGGTTCCACAGGAGAGGAGCCTGATAACTAAAAGATCTGCCTCCCATTCTATTTTTAGAATATCTAGGAACCACTAGTAAACCTGTAGATTGAGAATGAAGTGCTCTGTTAGGAACATAAGGAACAACCATATCTCTGATATAAGATGGAGCTTGGCCATTTAAGGCTTTATATGTGAGAAGGAGGATTTTAAATTCTATTTTGGAATTTAAAATCCTCCTTCTCACATATCTTTAGAAGGATCAGAACCATCCTGTCTAGAAAAGGAGCAGCTTTAGAAGCATTTTGCTCATGAGGAGTTGAATAAAATACCTGCTGAGAGGAGCAGCAGTCTAATTGACGGTTACAGGAATCGCTTGATGGCACTGATTGCCTTAAAAGGTTCAGCAAAAAAAAAAAAATGAAGTTGAGAATCCCACAAATTTTGTCCAGGACTGTTTCATTAATTTTTTTAATTATTTTATTGAAGCATCATTGAAAAGCAGTGACATTTTCTCATTTTCTTATCTTTTTATTTATTCTTTCTGTCAGATTCAAATGATTTCCGTGACCATTGTGGTTTTTTTTTTCTCTCATTAAATGGTTGGAACCATCAGTTTTGTCTACATGTGTATAATATAAAATTAACCAAACCCTGAACAGGAAAAGCTCCTGAATGTTGTGGCAGTTTGTTAATCACAGAGTTCCCACAGTCTTGAGTTTGATCCTTTCCTCTAGTCATTAAACTAGTGTTGGTGTTTTATCATCCATCCACAGTGACGGCTGCAGTGACGTTTTAGTGCAAAGGTAGATCCGTGGACTTTTTTCCTGCACGGATTTAACTGTTCACTGAAAGCCTTTTTTATCAGCAGCCTGCGCAGAATCCCAATGTTCAAATGAACAACAATAGAAGACAGTCCAGAGGCCTAAATCTAATGGGATTAGTCTACATCAAAGCTGGAACTTTGTTTTTTCCACACACAGTCAGTCTGTACACACATCCTTCAGTGCCCTCTGTAGAAATGTTGATGGAGAAGCTGCTCCATCTGCTCTTACATGTAGCTCTAGCAGCACAGTCAGCCTTACTCAGTCATTTTTAACTGCATTCCTCAGGAGCGGAGAGCCAGCCACTGCAGCAGCCCACCCCAGCCATGACTGTAGATTTCGATGCTGTATTTGGGAATAAGTCCACACCCAGTAACAACGGTCCGCAGCCTGCAGCCGGTAAAAAAGGCCTCTGTCTGCCTGTCCAGACGGGGGAAATACTAAAAAACCTTTCGGCTTTGATGGCGACATGCAGAGCTTTTAACTAACCCTCTGATCAGTGTCGGCGACCTGCGACTGCTCCTCTTTAAGGGTCGCATTTTCTCTGGCTTTCTAACTCCGCTTCATGGTGTGTCTTTTTGTTTTCTCCTCTATTTATTTTTCTAATAATGAAAACAAGTGCAGCTCTACAGCAGATGCATTTAAAATTTAAGCTCTTGGTTCTGAACTTTATCAGCTGAATTACTAATTTTCCAATTCACTTAATTCCAAATGTATGAGATGGTCTGGAGTAAGATGGTCGACTAAAGCAAAATTAATAATTGAGAGCAGATCTGCGGAGTGGAGGAGATGTTTAGGAGCACATTTCCAGCTTTATCTCATGTGTTGGTAACCTGTCTGCTGTGATGACAGCTTTAAACAGATGCTGCATGTTGGACTCTCTGCCTTCTTATTGGCTTCTTTCATTTGAACATCTTTCAATTCAATTCAATTCTTTTATTAAGGGATAGCCCCTTGAGATGATCCATCTCGTTTTCGAGGGGGTCCCAAGAACAACAGAGACAAACAATACACACAGTCACACATCCATACCAAAGCTCTTCATCACTACAAGCTAAACAGTCCAACATCTCTACACAAATATATTTATGCAGGTAAACAAACAAATAGAAAATATATGTATCTATATATATAGAACACTAAGCAGAAATAAAATAAGAATAAAATACAAGTAAAGTACTCAGGAGAAAACCCACAATTGGAAAATCAGTTAAATAAATAAAAAAGATAAGAAGGAAAAATAAGCATGTATATATGCACAACCGCACACATGAATATAGGTACAGCAGCAGGTACATAACTTTTTGTTTTGTTTTGTTTTAAGGACCACGGCCAGGAAAGCAGGTGCACTGGTCTCTTGAATGCAGAAAACTTAATAAGGATGATTTAAAGTGAGGAAAAGATGAAATTGATCTCAGTGATCTGGGTAAGCTATTCCAGTCAGAAGGGGCTTTAAATCTGAAGGCACGTCTTCCTATTTCTTTAGATATTCTTGGAACAGAAAAGAACAAATGATCAAGATGTCTAAGTCCATAAGTAGACCTATATGGATTCAAATGGTTTTGTAAATAGGATGGATAATTAAAGAAAAAACATTTATAAATAAACTGAAACCAGTGTAACTGCCGTCTAGTCTTAGGTGATAAGAGGTTAAGTTGCTGATACATGTGACAATGGTGGGTAAGGTATGGGCATCTCAACACAAATCGACAGAGACTGTTGAAAACAACATTTAGAGATTTAAGGTGTGATTCTGTTGTATTCATATACACAATGTCAGCGTAATCAAGGATTGGAAATAAAAGCTGTGTTACAATTCGTAGTCTGATCTGTTGAGTGAAACAATTTATAGAGCGATATAAGAGTCTAAGATTGAAATTAATTTTCTTGACAACGGAGTCAATATGTGACTTGAAGGAAAGATTGGAGTCAAGCAGTAGGCCCAAATATTTAAATTCTTCCACATTCTCCATAAGAGTATCATCCAGAAACCTTATTGACAGAGTATGATCTTGCTTAAAACGGGTTGTCCTGTTGTCAAAAAGCATACTGTAAGACTTAGTCTTATTAAGTATGAGCCCATTCGCTGTAAACCACTTCTGAATATCATCAAAGTCTGATTGCAATGAAGACTCAATCAAACTAATGTCAGGTTTAGCAGAGTAAATAACTGTATCGTCAGCATACAGCAGGATATTACAGTTTGAGCATACTTTTGGAAGGTCATTTATGAATATAGAGAACAACAGAGGGCCTAAGCATGAACCTTGCGGAACCCCATTTTCCATAACTGTGTACTGAGAAAGACAGCCATTGAAAGCCACCGACTGACGTCTTAAATGAAGATAAGAATTAAACCAAAAAAGTGACTGCTTACACAGACCGATACCATGCAGTTTGTCAAGAAGTAAATAGTGATTGACCAAATCAAAAGCCTTGGTGAGATCTATAAATATTGCTCCAGTAGGCATGTTATTGTCTAAAGAGGATGTAACATCATTGACAAACTTTGTGAGGGCAGTAGTGGTAGAGTAGTTTGGTCTGAAACCTGATTGCATCTCAGAAAGGACAGAGAAGTCATTGACATATTTAAACAATCGCTTAAAAATAATTTTTTCAAATATTTTTGCCACAGTATTAATAATCGAAATTGGTCTATAGTTATTTGGGTCAAGTGGATCACCACTTTTATGTATAGGTGTTACTCTAGCATACTTCCACATGGCTGGAACTTCAGATGTGGATATGGATAAATTAAATAGATAGCATAGTGGAAATGCCAGGATGTGAGATGCAATCTTAATAAACTTAATTTCCAGACCATCAGGACCAGCACTACCAGATTTAGTATCAGAGATAGCCTGTTGCACTTCAGTAGGAGTTATTGTAGTTAGTGTAAAAGAAGTATTGGCTACTGGTGAATTTACAAGATTGGAATGGAATAGATTAGATGGGCATAATTTGCTTACAGAGGAAAAATGTTGGTTAAATGCATCAGCCACAGTAGCAGGGTCACTACTAATTTTATCATTTACACGAAGCGATAGAGGAGAATTCACAGCAGGTTTATTCAATAAGCTGTTAAGTTTTTTCCAAAATTGTTTTGGACTAGTGAAGTCATTAGACAATGCTGTCTTATAGTAATTTGACTTTGCATTCCTTGTTTTCACAGTACAGATATTACGTAATCTCTTATATTCGATCCCATCAACCATAGCTTTTGTTGATTGGTAACGCTTCCAGGCCTTATCCCTTTCCTTAAAAAGATGCAACAGGTCACCATCAATCCATGGTAGATGCCTACCCTTGACTTTCACCGATACCCATGGTGCATGCTTGTCAATCACATTGTGTACCTCAGTATGAAAAAAAGTCCAAGCATCCCCAACATAAGGAATAAGTTCTAACCTAGACCAATTGATATTTAGCAAATCATTAATAAAGGAATCTTCAGAAAAGTTTTTATGTTGTCTTACTTTAATTATTTTAGATGGCAATCGTGGCAATCTTATTTTCCATACACAGAAGATAACCGAGTGGTCACTGAAGCAATCTGATAAAATACCAGAATCAGCTATTCTGTTGGGATGAGTGACCAAGATCCAGTCTAAGAGAGATCTGGAACTCCCAGCCACTCTTGTGGGTTCCTGTATTATCTGAGTGAGATGCAGGCTTTCCAATAAACTCTTCTCCTTAGCTGAAGACCTGTCGAGCCAGTTTCGGTTGAAATCACCCAGAACAATAAGTTCATCAGAACAATTAAGTGAATTAATAGTGGCAAGAATATTATTAATAGATTCGGAAGGAGAGTTAGGAGGCCTGTAGATATTACCAATAATCAGTTGTTTATGATCAAAACGTAGTCTCACAAAGAGGCACTCAAAGTGCAATGGGCTTTCATTTGGACTAACAACCTCTGAGGTCAAAGTAGAAGATATATAGGTAGCAACACCTCCACCACGACTGCCTCTATCTGCTCGATATAGGGTGTAACCCTCTAGGCTTATTTCAGCATCACATATTTTATTTTGTAACCAAGTTTCAGAAACAGTAATGACAGCAGGTTTGTTATAAGAAAGCCAAGCTCTTAGGAGATCAATTTTGTGAGGTAAGCTCCTGATATTTAAGTGAATGATAAATAAACCTTTACCCATATTCAAATAGAACCAAATAAGAGAGAGCAGGACACAGCGTAGGATAGAAGAGCAACACACACATACACACACATCTCACCACACACACACAAACACACATATATAGCCTTGACCGAAAAAGAAAGTAGACTATCTGCCAGCATACACAAAATATTATGATTATTCTTTTACTTCTTAATTTCCCATTAAGTCCACAAAAGGCAGCATCTATCATAACTAAAACAGAGAAAGGCCCGTTGTAGGGCGCACCAAAACAGCACATAAATGTGCAATCCAATAATAGGCCTATATGTCAACAGAGGGCTGCTTATCATACCAAATGCAAAGTATCTCAGTTTTGAGCAAAGGGACAATTAAGGAGTGTCTTTCACGAGTATTCAGTTTTCCATATCATTCATTGCCTTCAAAGGAAAAAAAAAAAAAAAGAAAAAAGAAAAAGAAAAGAAACAGAAGAAGGGGAAAAAAGGTATGAAACAATTGCAGCATCTTCTGAACTCATATACAATAGGCTAAACTCAAAGTTGAGTCAGTCAGCATTTCCAATTTCCTGCAGAAACTGAAGCGCAGCGTTGGGTGTTTTAAACTGCACAGGTTTCCCGTTGATATCGACTACAAGTATAGCAGGGAAAGTCATGTGATAGTCCAGTTTACGTTGCTTAAGCTGTTTTTTAATGTCATCGAATTCACGCCGTTTGTTGATCACAGCCGCACTGAAGTCGGGAAATATATGAATCCGCTCACCATTGTAGACAAGTTGCTGCTTTTCTCTGGCCAGTCGAAGGACTTTCTCTCTGTCCTGAAGACTGAGAAATCTCACCATGATCACTCTTGGCTTGACGTTGTCCTGTGTTTGCTGTGTTGGATGGCGATTTGCCCCCTTCTTTGCTTGCTGCGCCTCGGAGCGCTGCGCCTTCACCTTGGGTTGCTGTTGCGCAGGGGAGCGATGGGCCTTCTCAATGGCCGGGGGTGTAGGGAAGTTTTCACTCCCGAAGAGGTGAACAATCAGGTTGGAGATAAATCCACGAGTATCCTTTCCCTCCGATTTTTCCGGAACGTGGACAAAGCGAAGATTGTAAGCCCGGCTTCGGTTTTCGATATCATCCAGCTTGGCGCGCAGGTATGCGTTTTCCTTTTCTAATACTTCCATTCGTTTCCCATAATCAGAGATGTTGTCCTCGTTGCTGCTAACTCTCTGCTCAAGCTGCGAGACATGCTCTCCTAAATTTGAAAGCGAGAGCTTTATTG